ACTAATATGTTTTTCTTCAAAAATCTATATCTGGGAATATTTTTTCTTGAAGAAATCTATAGTTGGTCATATTTTTCCAAAGAATATATAGCTGTTTGTATTGCTGGTATTTTTTTTAAGTATTGCTGATAATAATTTTTCCTTCAAAAATTATTGCTGGTAATAATTTTTTTTTATTACAAAGTATTTCTGGTATTATAACCTATTTTTACACAAGTTTCGGTGTTAACTATTTGCCCATTGCTGGTACCCTAACAGGTGCTACCACCCCGGGTCAAGGTGGACCTGGGAACACCAGCAATTAAGATGTGGTTCCACACTCCTCAAAACCTCCTGATCAGAGGCCTTGCTGTTGGACGTAGTTTATCGTTATACCCAGAACGCGGATGTAGTTTATCGTCTTACCCAGGACGTGGACGTAGTTTATTGTCTTACCCAGGACGCGGATGTAGTTTATCGTCTTACCCAGGACGTGGACGTAGTTTATCGTCTTACCCAGGTCGCGGATGTTGTTTATCGTCTTACCCAGGACGCGGATGTTGTTTATCGTCATACTCAGGACGCAGATGTAGTTTATCGTCTTACTCAGGGCGCGGATGTAGTTTATCGTCTTACCCAGGACGTGGACGTAGTTTATCGTCTTACCCAGGGCGCGGATGTAGTTTATCGTCTTACCCAGGACGTGGACGTAATTTATCGTCTTACCCAGGACGCGGATGTAGTTTATCGTCTTACCCAGGACGTGGACGTAGTTTATCGTCTTACCCAGGGCGCGGATGTTGTTTATCGTCTTACCCAGGACGCGGATGTAGTTTATCGTCTTACCCAGGACGCGGATGTTGTTTATCGTCATACCCAGGACGCGGATGTAGTTTATCGTCTTACCCAGGACGCGGATGCAGCTTATTGTCTTACCCATACGGGTGGCAGAAGAATTATAGAAAACTCATATAACGTAATGATTGAGTACTATTTTTTTTGTTTTTAGCGAAATTTTTCCTGTTTCTTAATACTTTGCTTAGATTTTGGTAAACAATTCGCTTTCCCAATGCGCCTTCCGATTCCGTTGTAGTATTTTCTGTTCTCTTTTAAAACACTTCCTAGATATTTAAATTGTTGTACTGAGTTGATTTTGATATTTCCAATTTGTAATTCATATGTTTGTTTTTTTGACGGGTTTAGGCCCCTGTATATTTAAAGAATTCCTTATCAATCTGCATTTTCTGTAACTGTATCGAGTGTAAGAGTTGTTGTAGCCTGTTTAGGGGCCAGAAAAGAAAAAACACGGAAGACGAAGGTAGGTTGGACAAGTGTATTTAAATAACAGATATATACAAAGCAAGTGTATTAGTAATAAGCAGATAGAAGTATCTGTCCGAACGATCAGGTTACACTGCGTCTCGTCTGCCCAACAACGGTATTTTCCCGCCTCCCCACAAGGAAGGATATGGCCCAAGGCCGAGCTTAACGGGGAGCAATCCAAACCCGTAGGCTCGGCCAAATATTCCCCGTAAGCCCGCATAAACGGGTTTGGGTCTGTCTACCTCCCCGGACGAGACTCTGCCCTTCGTCAAAGTCTCGTCCGGGTTCATCTCTGCCCAAAGACAGTGAGTTTGACAGACGCCAAGATCTTAATAGCAGGTCCCACCTCGACACATCGGATGCCCAACGACGATATTTACCTGCCTCCCTACAAGGAAGGATGTGGCACAAGGCCGGGTTTGATGTTGGGCTATCCGAGCTTGTAGGCTAAGCCAAAAATTCCTCTAAGCCCGCATAAACTGTTTCGGGTCTGTTTACCTTCCCGGGCGAGACTCTGCCCTTCGGCATAGCCTCGTCCAGGTTCCTCTCTGCCCAAAGGCAGAGAGTTTGACAGACGCCAAGATCTTAATAGCAGATCCCAGCTCGACTGCCCCCCAGGAAGTCTCACAGTTTGTATTTATGACAGAAGGAAGACTTCATTCTACTGTAGGAGGCTTTACCACAACAAGAGCAAAAGTGTCCAAATCGTGTAACAGCAAAATTGTCCAAAAGTTAGATTAACCTTTGAACTGTTATATAAACAACTGGCCTCCCGAATAATTGCTCCATTAAGACAAAAATTAAGCGAAAGCCCAACTTTTTTTTTTGGTGGCGGGTGGAGGGGATAAATACGAATTAAACAAATTAGGGTTTTATTTTCATGTTCTGTTATTCACTTAGAAGAATTATCCAATATGATGCTATACATATACAACTAAAATTGCGAATTATGGGATATACATAAAAAATATATAAAATATATATATATATAAAATAAAAATATATAAAAAAATATAAAAATAAAAATTAAATATATAAAAAATATATAAAAAAAATATATAAAAATAAAAATATATAAAAAATAGAAATATATAAAAAATAAATATATATATATATATATATAATTACAAATTACATCTATATGATAAGTGCGAATGTCAGTGTTGCGCTGTGTCACACTTTTTTAATTAAAGGGCCACAACTCTCTAATGTGCAATAGAGGACTAGATTGCAATCAAAAGAATCAAAGCTGCAGTGAAAAAAACAAAGACCAGTGCAAATGAAAACCTAGATTCTTTATTCCGCCATAATGGCTTTTACTGTTAAAAACAATTAAAGGGACACAACTCTCTAACTTTAAATAGCTTACGTTACACAAATTGGGGGATCCCCAAGTTTTCATTACCGTGAATGTTTTCGGAGATAACAAATTTTATAGCTTGAAAATAAATTTGCGAATAATCGAAATTAATTGCGAAATCCAGCAAAAGTCATCCATCACATAAAAATAATTGTTTTTACAGAAAGTAAGGACCTACGTACATCAATTCGTCTTTGAAATAAGTGGCGGCAGAAGAATTATCGTTGAATCTTCTAAAAGGTAAACTTAAAAATATTAATGCAGTGCATAAATGCAGCGATCAGTTTTGTATTCTTTTGTAGTTTATTGTTGCCTTTTGCATACGGCAGCAGTATGCCTTACAAAAAGAAATCTCCGCCAACAGAGGACCAGATTGCAAGCATAAGAGCCAAGACTGCAGCGAGGAAAAGAAGTTTCCGTGCAAAGTTCCGAAACTGTCTGCTTATTATCTTTAAAGTCACATGACATCCCCCAAAATTGCGAATTTTCTCTACCAGCTCCGATATTCTGACGCCCACGTCCATATTGTCTCCTCCCCTCATCGCTCATCTCAAATTCTCTCCATTACAAAAGACAGTAAATTCTATCGTGTTTTTTTCGAAACTTAGCATGAGCAAAACAAATTCACGAATTTAGACACAAAAAAAAGACATTAGAATGATGTCAAATCCGTTAAAAGTTTTCATCCTTAAGTAATTTAGATGTGCTTAGTTTAATTTGTAAAGTACGGGGCGCGTTCCAGAAGTGATGTGACTTTTCCAGGAGAGACATTTATTAATTTCAAAGAAGTACAAAAGCCTAATCTCTTTTAAATTAGGATCACCTGACTTCAATGCACTTGTATCCCTTCAAACAATTCGTGGTGGCCCCATGGAAGTCATCCACACTGAATGTGTACAGGACTCTTGTTACAGCCCCTTTCATCTTCTCAATGTCTTCAAAATATCTGTCCTTGAAATTATATATAGAAAATATCTTATCGAAATAATTTTATTCCAGCACGACAGCAGGATGATGCTTTTTTACGCCTCTTCACATTGCGTTTCTCGATTGTCCCACATACATTCATCTGTTACAATGTTTCACAATCTTGAGTTCTTTTGTAGTTTATATTTGCCAATCGCATACGGCAGCAGTATGCCTTACTAAAAGAAATCTCCGCCAACAGTGGACCAGATTGCAATCAAAAGAGTCAAGTCTGCAGTGAGGAAAAGAAAGTCCCGTGCAAATGAGAAACCCAGATCAAACTGCAGCCAGGAGAGCCTCCAATGCTGAGAATATGCAAAGATTTAGGACTCGTAAAATCCTGAACAATCAGGAGATCCAATAAAGAGTCCTCTACAACAGCTAACTTAAACTCTACCCGATATAATTTCCATAGGCATTCAGTAAAGTTTGGACTATCTTCGAAGCAGACCATTAATATTGTCTTCTTGTTATTTTTCCCAAACCTTCAACTAACTGAAGCTCTCTAGGTAGGTGACGCGTTCCTTTCTTCTGTCTCTCTTAAATTCAATCTATCGTGTGAGTATTACATTTTCTATATGCCTCGTTTGATTTGAGCTTTACTGCTTATTCACTATTTCTGGTTCTTTAAAGCAAGAAAATATTTGGCTATATCTCCTCACCCAAGTTATATACACATACTCTTTCTTCTTCTTCTTCTTCTTCTTCTTCTTCTTAAAGGCAGAGAGGAACCCGGACGAAGCTATGCCGAAAGGCAGAGCCTCGCCCGGGGAGGTAGACAGTCCCTGAACCCATTTATGCGGGTTCTACGGGAGTATTTTGGAGAACCCACGGTAAACTTGGCCTTGTGCCACATACATCTCTCGTAGGATGAATGTGGCTGTTAAATATAACAGTCTAATAGATTGTTCTACCGAGGCTGTGACTGTTCGCTGCTGCTGTCGAACACTCTGCCCAAAGGCACAGAGGAACCCGGACGAGGCTGTACCGAAGGGCAGAGTCTCGTCCGGGGAAGTTGACAGACCCGAACCCGTTTATGCGGGTTCTACAGGGGGAAGAGATTGGGGATAATAATAATAATAATAATAATAATAAAGATTTACTGATACAAGTCTTAATATTTAACCCGTAACTGGGGGGAAGAAAACGTAGAAAATGCTATTTGCGCACAAAAGAGTAACGAACCCGAATGGAATTGGCTCTCCCATCTCGAGCCGTTATCCATAACACCACGTACAATCTTATAATACCTGCTATTCCAAAGTGGTCACCCACATAGGTACTGACCAAGCTCGAAGTTGCTTAACTTCGATTTCTCATTCCGAGTCGGTATTCATTAGACCAAACATCCCCGATTCACCAATGTTATAAG